GTTCTCTGTCAAAATCATTTGTACCAGTGTTACACACGTGAAAACCCAGGGCAAGGGTTTGTGACCCTACCCGGTTCCTCTCTTCTTCCAGACCCGGTACCTATACACATCTGGCCAGCGCTGGTCCCAGCTAGTCTCCGGCTCACACACCAGTCCTGCTAATTAGTCTGTATACCATCTCTCACATCAGCCTACAGTCAACAAACTGCTTCCCTGAACACAAGATTCATTTATCTTTCAAAATAAAGTGTAAAAGATAAACACAGTTTAAAAGTACAAGTCTATGAAAACATGCATACATTCGGAGCAAAACCCAGGAAGGAAAGAATAACAGTGAAATGTTTATGGCAGGGTGTGGAGGTTTTTCAGGATTTACTTTTATTATTGTTTAATTCACTGCTGTCTTTACTACAGTTACATGTCTTTAAAATATAGCAATGAAAACCATGTACAGAGAATTTGGCTTAGAAGCAATTCATATAAAATGGCTTTAGCCCGTTGAGAATCTCTTTCCAATCAGAAAAGTCTAAGCAGAAAAATAGTCTGTGATAGAACTTGTTGATCCCTAGAAACATCAGCCCTGCTTCCTCTCTCCTTCCTTCCTTCCTTTTTCCCTCTCTCTCCTTTTTTTCAACACTACATTTTTATTTAGACTTAACAATCAAATAATAAAGGAAAGAGAAGACTAGAAAACTAGATATTAAAGTATAGAAAAAAAAAGTTTGGGTGATGTGTGCACACGCGTATGTGTGCCAGTGAGAACGTGTATCTGTGTGTGTGTGTCTGTCCATCCATCTCTCTGTCTGCCTGCATGCCTGTGTTAGAGAGGTTAAGAAGTATGGAAAAACAATATAGAGACCAACAGAGCAATGTGTAAAAAGTTCTTCCAGCCCAAGAACCGGAACAGACAAACCTGTGTCATCTGATTACCTAGGGCCCTGTTCCACACTGAGACTAGGAAATAAGATGAATAAATAGGTGTTTAGAATAGAGACTGTAGAAGGGGAAGATTAAAGAAAAGGATCAGGTAGGGTATGAGCCTATGGACAATTAGCTAGGAAAAAAGAAAAGAAACAATAATTGTGGAGAAAAACAGCATGTATAAACCCCACACTTAGATCCACAAATAATCTTAGTATTTGACCTGAAACATTTTTAACAAGCTAGGATTTCTTCACTGTTTCAGTTTTTTTCTTTTCAAGGGGTGATTTCCATCAATGAAAACTAGTGTTAAAAACTAGACACATGTTATCTTTGTCTCCCAGGTTATATCTCTCCCGTTTTTGTGATGTTCATTCCTGTCTGCATAGTCCGTGAGACAAGTGAAAATTCTATTTGGCTTACAAATACAATTTACTTCCCAGACTAGAAGATTTGCTATATATAACAGGTAAACCAATAGCTACTAGATTTATGTATGGTAAACTGTTATCACAATAGATAAAAGAAGCAATTCAAACCCTAGTTACTCTTTGACAAGTGAAAATTTTATCTTGTTTAAAAATAATTTCTCCTACTATATTAGAAGCTAAGCCAACTACAAGCAGTGAGTGTATCAGCAAGTTTGATTCCATATCAAATCCTCATTTAAAAAAAGGATAAAATGTCCAAAATGGGAAGTCTATTATTTGACATGTGGAAATTCTACCTTTGCTTTGAAACAGAGATCCTGCACTCCTCTAGAACTTACTCCAAATATAAGATGTAAAATCAACAGCTTCACAGATAGGTGGCAAATTGCCATAAAACAGGTAAAGTGTTCAAAAAGAAGAAATATTATGTGCGATGTCAAAATTCTCCTCGGTGCTAAAGTACTTTGCCCACCCCGCTGAAAACTAAACATGGTGCTAAATAGAGAGATTGATAGCTCTAGAGCAAAGTTTCACAAAAAAAAAAAAAAAAAAAAAAAAAAAAAATGGATAGAATGTTCAGATACAAAGGACAGCTAACACCTAGCAAGGTAAATAATGTATAGAAACCCCGACATGCACTTCACACTGACCCTTCTGAAAAGCTGGAACAAAACAATCCACACCAGGAAAATCAACTTAGAAAAATCTAAAATTCACCTAAATAGTAAACATCAAGAGAGCTGACAAGTCTTATCTATCAGAATTCAGACATGTTGGGTTTTAAGCTTCATTTTTGTGTAACAACAACAAAAATCTAAAGCACCTATTAATTTTGTCTGTCCAGTTAAATAATGTTTTGTTCTTTCAGATAGCAAGGAATTTTTACCTAAACATCTGGTATTGCTTTTTCCCTGGGATATTTATAATTTGAAGCAAAGTGAATTATTTTTTCATATGTAGAGCATAAAATTCCTCAAGGATATTGACCAGAATTATAGCTACAGGCGAGAATGCTGAGGTCGGGGAGTATCTGCTCGGCTTGCTGGTTTGAAATACTCAGCTGTCATGGCTGTTCATATACATCAGAAAAATATTAATTTAATATTATTTCTTTTAAAGAAAATTGCAAATCAATGTTATTTCATGCTCAAAATCTACATATTTGAAAAAGAAAACATGAAGAAAATTAATTTCATCCAATATTTAATTTTGAGAAAAAAAATATACAAAACCCTATGAAAAAAATGTGTTTTTTAGATACCTCTGTAAGCGTACGGGTAGTTTGCCCGCACCACAGTGAGGCGAGGGTGTCACAGGTGACCCTGTTCACCTTTACTAAGGCTCTCTCTGGAATTTGGACAATGAATAGAATTATTATTATTACAAAAATACAAACAAAGCCTTTTTTTTTTACATTTTAAACAAAAAAAAAAAAAAAAAAAAGGAATCCTGGTTCAAATTTTGAAATGAAAAATCAAATTAGTTCAAACCTTGAAAGACTTGAGTGATTTTTTAAAACTTGAATTCTCCTTGTTTTTTATCCATGCTCGCTATAGATCTCTTAAAAAAAAAAAAAAAAAGCAATGCTATCAGTGAACAGTTAGGTGAATTAACTTTGTATGAGAAACAACTGCTAAGCATATGACAGTCCCGCAGTCACCAGAGCAGTGACTGTTAAAATAAGCATTTTTCAAAAATCCTGGAATTAGTCTCTTGCTGAAAATGATAAACATTTTTTAATTCAAAAAGCATGATTATGTTCATGCAGCGTCTTAGATAAATGCCGTTCCCTACTGGAAATCTGCACTTATTCATTTATGCTTCGGGGGGGGGGTCAACGCTTAATTTCTAATTAGTAGGTTCCCAGTAAATGAATGAGTTTTTGCTTAATGATAAAAAGCTTAATGCTTTGTACAGCACAAGGTCCCGTCCACCTTTCAGTACACAATGGGTCAAAGTCTCGCTTTTTCCTTTAAGAAAAAGCTACAGGAATTCTTCCTGCAATACGCAGAGATTTAGTCTTGAAAGACAAATGTGTTTCATCTGCGGGGAATAAATCCAACTCAGTTGTAGACAATTTGATTTTTCTTTTAACTTTAACTTTTTTGGACAAAGATTAGCAACAGATTGCGGATTTGCTCAACGCCTAACATTGTGAGCCGCTTAGGTGGGACTCCGCATCCAGGCTTAGTTTCCCCTCCTTTTTCTTTAGTATTTCAGTGCTTTGTACCTTTGCAAATTTCCCTAACGTTAAAAACATCACAGGTTTATGTGTACCAAGTCAAGCAAATGTTTGCAGCAGAGCCTCAGCAACCTGCTTCAAAGGTTTAGGCGTGCAGTTCCCGCACCCCAAAACATTCATTCACCCCCCAGATTTAGAAAAACGTAAAGGCGCGGAGGAAAAAGCCGAGGTCTCGTTGTAAACCTAGCAATCACCACCACCAAAAGTCCGTAGCTGAAATCTCCAAAGCCCGCCAAGAACGCTGGGAGCACCCACAGCTGTTTTCAATTGTTCTTGCTTTCCCCTCAGAATGTATTTAGTAGGGCAACCGGTGCTGTTTGCAGCTTCTTTGGCCCCCAGCCATGGTTGACCCTGGCCTGAAGACCGTTTGGCTCCCAGCATTTTGTGATTCTGCTTCCCTGTTCGGTAAAACCTAAGAAAAATAAGGTTTGCGCCACCAGGAAATATGTTTTTTAAAAAGTGTAGGGGGGATTCAGTATTTTAAATGTCATATTTTGGTGGTCTCTCTCCCTCTCTCTCTATCAGATTCCAGAAAGGGAGAAAAGATGTACATCTTTGTGTAACAGAGAAAGCATCTGGTCAGCCATGTCCTTTGGCTCACATCTAGGCCAAGGAGTCTCAATTGTGGGGTAAAGCCCCCACTCCGAGGGGCAATGACCCCCAGTTCTCTGCTTCAGGGATCAGAAGATGTCCACCACCAAGCTGGGGGGGGGTTGCAGGGGTGCACCCTGTGGAAACTGGAGATGAATTCCTTCCCTGCTGGACAGGGAGGGGCTGTGGGGGTGCAGAAAGAAAAAAGGAAGAAAGAAAGAGAGAAAAAAGGACCAGGGGTCAAGCCTGGGAAGGGACCCACTGGGCCCGGGTGATGGGCTTCAGGGTACCCCGAAAGAGGGATGCTGTGGGGGGGCACTGAGCATAGGGGCTAGCACCCTTTTGGGCGCGCCCTGGTACCCAGGAACCCGAGTGGGGGAGGGGGAGGCGGCGGCCTGTGGGCCCCCGAACCTCCACATCGCGCGCAGGCCACTAACCTGTCAGTAAGAATGTGCCAGTGGTCGCGGGGCTCATCTTGCGTGTCCCCCGACCCTTTCCCGTCCAAGCACAGGGGTCTCCCAGCTCCCACCACCACGATAATAGCATTCTTGGCCTGCCTAGGCCGGCTTCTCCCCTCCCCTCCCTTTCTTCTTTTCTCCAGGCTCGGCCAGTTCAACATCAGTACCGTGCACCCCCCATCCGAGCCCAGGCTCCCCCTAGCGGCGGGCCAGCGCAGCGTGCGCCGCGCCCCCACCCCTCCACCCATCCCCCCAGGCGCCCGCCCACGCACCTCCCCCCCGTTCCCCCCGTCCGCCCCCGCCAGCCCGCGAAGCACGCTGGGATTGGTCGCCCCCTCCTCGGAACATGCTATATAAGGCGAGCAGTCCGGGCTCTCGGTACACGCGTTTCCAACTCCGGTTGGTGTGTGTCGAAGAATCCTGACTGCGACCCGAGGACAGCGACCGAGCCGAGAAGGTCCACCCAGCCTTGCCGAGGTCCGCTGCGGGGCTGCGGTCCGGAACCCCTCCGGACCGCGGTCACCAGTGGACCGTCGCCCGGCCAGGTGCGCAACCCCGTCGCCCTTCCTGTCTTCGCAGAGGAGTCCTCGCGTGGTGAGTATGCGGTGAGGAACACTTTTTTTCTTCTTTCTCCCCCTTCCCCGAAAAAAATCCCGATCACACGCAATCCCCGTTTATTCCGGAGCTGCGGGAGATGAAGTAGCGCCCCCGGAATGTCTCCTCGCAAATGGGAATCTTTTTTTCTTTTCTTTTTCCTTTACCCTGTGCCTTCAGTGGCCGGACCCCCGAGGACGCGAGTGTGCAAAGCGAGCCTTTACGGCTTCGGTTTGCACGACCCGCGTCCAGAACTGGTCAGTAGACGCATGAGCTGCGGACGGTGATGAGCTGCAGACGCACATGAGCTACGGACCTAACTGAATTGGCGATGTGCTCCTACTCAAACGCGCTGCAAACTGACGGCTCTGCAACTCCTAGGCGCTCGGGCGCGCTACGGATGGACGGACGGGCGCTTCACGCGCCGCGATGGACTAGTGGGCGCTTCATGCGCCACCAAATAAGTATTGAGCCAAGGGGCGCTTCACGCGCCACCGAGCACTCGGGCCGGGCGCTTCACGCGCTGCGGACTGACGGGCGCTTCATGCGCTCCGCTGTGCTAATGGGCGCTTCATGCGCCTCCATGTGCTAATGGGTGCTTATTGCACTTCGCTGTGCTAATGGGCGCTCCATGCGCCGACATGTGCTAATGGGCGCTCCATGCGCTTCTGTGCACGGACGGGCGCTTCATGCGCCCCAAGCCTGCCCGAACGGCGCTGATCCCGAGAACCGAACCGATCCGTGCTTCACGCACTCGGGCCCGAGCCGTGCGCGGGACGGTAAACCAAACAGGAGCGCGCCACAAAAATGACTCTGTAAATGCGCCACGACCGGCTGCTGCATAGCCAGAACGCGGGCTCTTGGAAAAAACGGGGTTAAAAAGTACAGCTCTGCCCTTGGAGAGGGGTCGGGGGTCGGGGGGACACGGGGTACGGGACTAAAACCCACGTCGGCGATTGGAAAAGCTCCTACTCTGTTTTCCCGAGGGGCGGCTAGCTGCGTGATGGTGGTGTTAGACAAAATGGAGCCCTGGGCGGCAAAAATTAAGTGTTTAGCATTCTGCCCACGCCATTCCTGCTCTGGCATTAAGAGTAGACCCGGGGTGCTGGATTTTGGAAAATGGCAGAATGGGCTGCCTTGTCTCGTGGTGATTGATTGAGGTGACGTGACGGTGCAGTTGACTTGGTGGCGCAGATTGGCGCCCAGCAACAGTTTGTGGAAACTGTCTGGTTTGCAGGGTGGGGATGAGGCCGAGGGGAGGGGGTGCGTTGCTCTTGCTGCATGGAAAGAAAATGGCTCTTGGAAGCTGGTGGGAGGGGTCTGGGGAGGTGGGGGGGCAGGGGGGTGGGGGGAGGCTTGCAGACACTCTGCAGCCCTGTAGCAGCCACTCTCAGACCTGCCCCGCCCACCTTAGCCTGCCTTCTCTGCAGAGAGGCCTAGCGCCTCGCCTGCGCCTCGCCTGTCTCGCGCCTTTCCAGAACATGCTTCCACTGGCCCAACCTCCCAAGTGCTGACGCCTCAGAGCCAGCCTCCCAGCCCCGCCCAAGGCCCGCCTCCTCTGAGGTAACCTGCCCAAGCCCCGCCTCCTCTGAGGTAACCTGCCCAAGCCCCGCCTCCTCTGAGGTAACCTGCCCAAGCTCCGCCCAAGGCCCGCCTCCTCTGAGGTAGCCTGCCCAAGCTCCGCCCAAGGCCCGCCTCCTCTGAGGTAGCCTGCCCAGGCCCCGCCCAAGGCCCGCCTCCTCTGAGGTAGCCTGCCCAGGCCCCGCCCAAGGCCCGCCTCCTCTGAGGTAGCCTGCCCAAGCCCCGCCCAAGGCCCGCCTCTCTCAATGTCCAGCTCTTCCACTGAGGAGGCCCAGAGCCCCGCCTTCCCCTCAGCCTGCCTGCGCCTGCGCAGTGTGGGCCCCAACCCCATGCCCTCCCTCCCTTCAGCCTTGCCCACTGCGCAAGTGCGCCACACTGTCTGAGCCTGGCTGTACAGCCCCGCCTCCCTGCGGTTTCTCTGTTGAGCGGTTTTGTTTTTTGTCCACAGGTGTCTAGTAAATATATAAGAATAATAAGAATAATTAACAACAATAAGAAGTATACCTGGATGCATAAGCACTTTCAATTAAGTGCCTTGCACTATTAAATAAAATGATCCCACAATTAAAACTGATAGTGGGATATGGGAACTTCTAAGATCTGGCTGATGCCTTAAAGCAATTAAGCCAATTATTTACTTTAAATTAAATTTAAAATATTTTCATATTTAATTATTTGCCTAAGACACCATTGGACTTACTGGAATTGAATGCTTTGGTGATTGCAAAACAGAAGCAGCTTGGAGCTTGGACTATGTTTCTTAAGAGTTTGGAGTGACATTGGTATTATAGCTTGGCTGCTGAGGAAGGAGGCTTTTGTGAGCATAAAAACTGTTTTGTTTTTGGCTTTCTTTTTTCCTTGAAAATTCTAGATGGTTAGCTCTGGCTGACCTGCCTATGTGTAATAAGTTGTGCTTGGCACATAGTAGGCATTCATTCAATATCTGTTCCATGGCCAGAGTAAATTACTCATTGTCCTGCTGCTGGCCTTGAGGCTTTTTGAGGTTTTGGTGCTTTTTCCTATGGTGCTTTGCTGTCCTGAGTTGAGTTGCTGCCCCTCTCTCACTTTTCAAACTTTCTTTTTAAAAAGTGTGTTTTTGAACTCCAGTAAAGTAAGCTGTAATTATAATGTGAGACAGAATTATATTCCAAGTAATTAGCTTTTTTCATAAAAAGCTAATTATTTGTTATTCCAAGTAATTAGCTTTTTTCATAAAAAGCTAATTATTTGTTATTCCAAGTAATTAGCTTTTTTCATAAAAAGCTAATTATTTGCTGTCCCAAGTAATTAGCTTTTTTCATAAAAAGCTAATTTAAATTTGGGGCAAGTGGGTTATTACTGTTACATATTGACATTTAAAATTTGTGTGATGTAACAGAGTGGTTACATTGCAAGACACAGATTGTTTCAACTGGCTTAATTAAACATCTGTAATTTACAGAGAAGCCAAATAGAAATTTCTCTTAATTAATGAAGAAATTAAAAGAAAACTGGCCCCATATATTACAGACCATGAGCCAGGGTTTCATTAAGGGGAGAAATGGGGACTTTTGCCCCCCCAAGTGCTCACTGTCCTACTGCCCCTCCCTTGAAGTATAACTAACTATGGGAAATACATGCTTATAATTACAGCTTGAAATTTGCTTTGGGAATTTTATGCATACTAAAGAGGTTCAAAACATTGTAAGTAAATATATGCAAATTAGAATTACATTTCACAAATAAGCCACATAATACTAATAAAAGGACATTTAAGATTTTCAAGCAACTAAGAGTTGCTTAATGGTGTTTCATTTACTAATGAGACATTCATATATGGTTTTATTTGCTATTATTGTCCTTGGATGTGTTTGGGGAAATTTAAAGAAAATTTAAAGAAGTCATTGTAAAGAGTTAATAATTAATCAGATATACTTATTAACTCCTAAAGAGACTAAAACTAAATTGTATCTGAAGATGGCAATGATCTCAGGTAGCTTGGCTTGCTTATGCAGTGTGACCTTCAGTTTTCAGGAATGGGGGCTCTCAGCAACCCCATGCAGTATCTAGCTCTTTGAGAGGGAAATTGAGGAGTCACTATTTTTAAGTAAAATTAAAATTAAGTCAACATGCTCCTTGGATCCCATCAAATTATGCTGCCCCAGTTGCTCTTTAGACATTTTCATTATTTGTTTATAGTTACTGTTAACCTGTTTCTGTTTGCCCAGGGCCCTATTACTTTTTACTGGATAAACTATTCTGCCTTGCAGCAGAGTCCAACTCCCAAAATTGTAAAGCCCCCAAGGGTGATCCTGAGGTCTCAGAGTGGTAAAGGTCACAAATCTTAAAGTGGTGACCTCACAGGCCAAATAAAGCCTCAAATTTATTTATCCAGTACTGTATTATTATTAAAAAAAAAAAGAAAAAAACCCAAAAGCACCCCCTATATATCCTGGCGGGAGGGGTACACCTCTCTAAGTTACATGGGCCAGCCCCTCCCCCATTTTCTTACCTCTGGTCTCTCTTTAAATTAGCTTACTGACATTTTACAAATAATACAATCAATAATTTGCAATATCAATACAAACAATGTATTGATTGCTATTTCCTAATGCAATTTCTGTCCTCTAATTGCCTTTTATAGGTGTCAGTGCCCAGCAGACCTGTAAAGCCCACCCCAAAAGGTTGTGTACCTTCCTGACCTGGGTCAGGCTGCACCAAGCCATACTGAGACCACCTTTAAGGGAGTTTTTAATTTCTATTTTGAAGTTGTTATTTTCTAGTTAACAGAAGTCACACTTGAGCCATCTGATCAGTACTTATTAATTGTTTTTTAAGGAAAGATTAAAACAATTTAATTTTAAAAATACTACAATGTTTTGACTATGGTCTTTGTTCCTAATACACTTGTTTTTAATGAATTGGAAGTGAGAATGAATGGCACAGGTCAAGTCGTGTTCTAACTTTTTAAAACATGGTTGTCAGTTATTTGTTAATTTTGGTAGCTTGTTATTAAAATGATTAAGTAGAAGTGTTAAAATGGCACACTAATTCCTGTCCTTTAAGGACCCTGTGTGCTCTACCCATGGTAGAGGCCATAAGGAACAGCTTGGGACAAAGGGAAAATGGCTGCTGGTGTTTATGGCAGGGGAGGGGCCTAAAAGATGAGGTGGGGTTGGGGGTAGGGGTGGGGGTAAGAAAGCAGAGGGATTGGACAAGAGTAATGAACAGGTGTCATGGGGGATGACAGTTTTCCTTTATTTTTAAAAATACTTTGAAATTGTAGCTGCTTTTCCATCTAACTTTTCTAATTAACATCTTAATCTTTTTTGTCTTGTGAAATATAATTATGTACCAGTTTTACTTTGATTGGTCCGAGAAAATTAGCTCATTTTTAAATTTTTATTTGTTCAAAAGTTTTATAAACTTTATGTCCTTAAACTTTTATTGAACTTTTTTAATTAAAAGTTTCTAGCCATTAAAAAGTATAAACTTGCAAAAATAGAAATTTAAGACTTTCTAAAGTTTTAAGCTTTAAACTTAAAAGTTGCTTGTAAGCTCAAACTTTCAAAAAGTTTTTTAAACTTCAGGAAACTTAGCTAAACTTTTTTAAAAAGTTTGCTACTGTCCAATTTCAAAGTTTTAAAAACTTTATAAGGATGTAAAGTTTAAACTTAATGTTTGTTCTTCAAACTTTTTAAAAGTTTTTTAAACTTCAATAAACTTAGTTAAACTGTCCAATTACAAAGTTTTAAAAACTTTATAAAAGTTTTAGCCTTTAAACTTAAAAGTTGTTTGTAAGTTCAGACTTCTGAAGTTTCTTTTATTTAAAAACTTTACTAGATTGTCCAGTTACAAAGTTTGTAAAACGTTGATATTTTATTCTTTACTACAATTATTTTAATTTTCCAATTTGAGATTTTGAGAATTCAAATACATAGTTATTAATCATTCTAATTGCATTTAACCCTTTTTAGGAAGTGATTAGTCACTACACTCATAATGAAAACATTTAAACAACTCTTCACACATACACATATCCACTTACCTTGGAGTCCAGACCTATCCCAGCTTAACTTTACAAGCCTTTGGGTGGGACCCTACTGAAAAATCTCAATTAAAAACTAAATGCTATACACACTGGTGATCTGTATAATAATGTGTATTTTTAAGTATTTTTAGATTCAGGATGTCCAAGCTGCTGAAGTTACAGCCCCTTCCCATTTATACAGAAAGTTAGATTTTTGTTTTTTAATTAATAACCTTATTAAGAATGAGTTAATAGTTACAATTCAGTGATTTATATCTATATTATTTAATTAAAGGCATGATAAATTTGAATTGTACTATTATCAGACATCACTAAAAAAAATGTCCTATTGTAAAGCTCATTTCTTCCTAGAAGACCTCAATTAATATTTGTTTAATGATTATCTAATAGGGTAAACTGACATCCCCCTGTGCTGTTCAGTGCCATTTTTGTCCCATTGAGAATTCTGAAGGGGTTAACTTTTGGTGACATAAGCAACTAGACTATCTTGTTTTTGTGATAGTGCTTGGCTGTTTGACTTAATAATTAGACCTTTAATGTGAAGGGTACACCTCTGTTGTGACATTTGGCTGAATGTACTTTATTTTTTCAGAGCATTGTGGTTCGAATACCCCACCTCTTTTGTGCGTGTGGTTTCTGATTGATTGGATTTTAGTTATATTTTCCTAACATCCTTATTAGTATAAGGCATGGTGTTGGGATTGTTTGGCATCATTTAGAAGTTATTTTGCATAATCTGTTTCCTATTTATCTTTGCCTTGAAAGTTGTTTGCTGTGTAACCTCCATAAAAATGACTTATTTACTATTGTCACTTTTCCTTTATAGTCTGTAAGGGTGAGTGTGCTACTGCTGAAGGTCATGTGTTAATTATAAGGAGCAGGTGACTCTTGAGATGAGTCATTTGGATGTCTGGACATCAAGAAGTAGTATGCTTTTTAGTATGTTGTAAATGATTGCTTCATCCTCTTTTGAGGATGTGTTCTACTGACTGTCAACTGATAATTAGCTATCAAAGAATATTTGAAAAACTAAATCCTTGTTTATAGAGAGTGTTTCGAATGTAGATGTTGAATGCATACGTTTGTTGTCATTTACAGGAACAGGCGAGTTTTGAGAACCAAGAAAAAACGCCGACCACGACCAGCCCAGAATCCTGGGCACCCTCCCACCATGGCTGCTGCCGGTGGGTCCAACTGCCCTCCTCCTCCCCCCAACAACAACAACAACAACAACAAGCCCAACAACAACCAGGACCGCAGGCACCCTCCCAGGACCAACAGACACCCAGACTGCCGTACTCGCCGCAGTACCAACGCAGAAGGGCAGCACGTTTATCAGGAACGCATCCCTGGAGGCACTGATGATGAAAACGAGCCCCAGGGCGCTACAGCAGCCGAAGAGGAGGATCCAGTCTTTTTCTTTGATGAAGAGTCCCTGAAATACCTTCCTGAGAAGTTTGATGGCAACTCAGACACAGTGAACCAGTTCATTTCCCAGTGTGAGGTCTTCATGGAGAAGAGCACCAGAGATTTCTCAGTTGATCGTATCCGTGTATGCTTCGTGACGAGCATGCTGATTGGCCGAGCTGCCCGCTGGGCTACTGCTAAGCTGGAACAGTGCGCTTACCTGATGCACAACTACCGTGCCTTTATGATGGAGTTGAAGCATGTCTTTGAAGACCCTCAGAGACGTGAAGCTGCCAAACGCAAAATCAGACGTCTGCGCCAGGGCACAGGAACTGTTGCTGAATACGCTGGCATATTCCAGACGATTGCCCAGGATCTGGATTGGACCGAGACTGCCCTGATTGATCAGTTCCTTGAAGGCCTCGGTTCTCAGGTGCGCCATGAGCTGTCCCGCCGTGCAGAGCTCCCCACTTCCATCTCTGAACTCATCCGACTTTGCGTTCACATCGAGAGAAGGCTGGCCCGTGCTGCCGCCGCCGCTGCTAGCAGGCCCCCCCGTGCTGATCCACCCCGCGCCCTGGTGGCGCCCCAGAGCCACCAGCAGACCGATCCCACTGAGCCCGTCGGAGGTGCCCGCATGCGCCTCAGCCAGGAGGAGAAGGAGAGACGCCGCAAACTGAACCTGTGCCTGTACTGTGGCAACGGAGGCCACTACGCCGACAACTGCCCCGCGAAGGCCTCCAAGAATTCACCGTCGGGAAACTCCCCGGCCCCGCTGTAGAGGGACCTTCAGCGACTGGGCCAGACGGAACAAGGTCCCCACCCCCCGAGGCTCCGACTCCGCATCTGCAGGTGATGCTCCAGATCCATGTCCCGGGCCGACACACCCTGTTCGTCCGAGCTATGATTGATTCTGGCGCCTCCGGCAACTTCATCGATCAGGACTACGTCATCCAAAATGGAATTCCTCTAAGAATCAAGGAATGGCCAATCATGGTGGAAGCGATTGATGGGCATCCTATAGCCTCGGGCCCAATTGTTCTGGAAACGCACCACCTGATTGTTGACCTGGGTGACCACCGAGAAGTGCTGTCTTTTGATGTGACCCAGTCTCCGTTCTTTCCTATTGTCCTGGGAGTTCGCTGGCTGAGCACACACGACCCTCACATCACCTGGAGCACTCGCTCCATCGAGTTCAACTCTGATTACTGCCGATTCCGATGCCGCGTGTATTCCCAGATACCTCCTGCTATGCTGGTACCAGTACCACAGCCACCACAGCCACCATTCTTCTACCACATGGATGGCTACAGAGTTTTCCCTCCTGCGAGGTATTACTACGTTCAGAATGTATACACGCCCGTGGATGAGCATGTCTACCCGGGTCACCGGCTGGTTGACCCTCACATTGAAATGATCCCTGGAGCGCACAGCATTCCCAGTGGACATGTGTACTCATTGTCCGAAACTGAGATGGCTGCCCTGCGAGAATTCGTGGACAGGAACGTGAAGAATGGACTCATGACTCCCACCGTTGCTCCCAATGGAGCCCAGGTCCTGCAAGTGAAGAGAGGATGGAAACTCCAAGTCACTTACAACTGCAGGGCCCCACACAACTGCACAGTCCAGAATCAGTACCCTCGCATGTCTCTTCCAAACATGGAAGACCAGGCGCACCTGGCAACCTACGGTGAATTTGTTCCTCACGTCCATGGATACCACCACCACCACCACCATCACCATCACTTCCCTGGCTATGCTACCTTCGCAGGTCATCACGTGATGTTTGCGTGGTACCCAGTGGGACGAGATGCACATGGAAGAATGATCCTCACACCAGTTGTGCTCACCTGGTGTCCACATGGGTACCACCATCAGCCTGTTCCGATACCCCAGTACCCTCCTCCACAGCCACCACCTCCGCCGCCGCCGCCACCGCCACCTCCACCTCCACCACCTCCGTCCTACAGTACCATGTAAATAACTGTCTCTGCCCTCAACTTTTTCCTGTGTAGCTTCTCAATCCGTGACTGTGTGCTACTGAATCTTCAGGCCACCTCAGGCACAAAGGCACGCCGGGCTAAAGTCAGTTTTCCATCTTGACTGCCAATTAGTAAGTTGACAAGGCCTGGGTTTTACCTGTTAAAACCTCGCCATCTCAACCGCAGGCTGCCAAAATTTCCTTACAGAGAAGCTGATGCAAACACAGGACATGCTGATTTCTTACAAAGGGGGAGAAGAGGAGGAGGACATGACTTTGCCCGTATACGGGCGCCTTATGAAGGAAGCCACACTCTGGTGCAGCATTAAAAGGCTTCCGTGATTATCTTGCTGCACCCTCTGGAACTTCACCATCTTCAAACTCCATCTTCATGGTTCCGTTAGTTTTCAAGGAGCAGCAACTTGACTGGTTCTTTGCAACATGAAACACCTCAGCTTGAAAAGGAAGTGCTTTCTTAGATAGACTTGTGAGTGTGCCTTCACATTCTGGTGCAGATCACATGTACCCAAGAACTCTGGTGTTGACACAACATCTTACCATCATCATACCAGCAAAGTGTCTGCCTCCATTTGCATCTGGGATGTGATTTTTGCACCCAGATCCACACTCCCATCATAGAAGATGTATATGAAGAAGAATTAGAGCACTGGACATCAACTTTTTAAGAATGAGGTTTCTTGCTACTACCTTGAAACAGTTTTCTAATCTTTTTCTGTTTGATTCTCTGCTACTGCCATTAACCCTGCTGCAGGATTTGCCACCTTCCTGCCTGACTACTGACTCCATTTTGCTCCCATGCAAGGAGATGAAAGATGCAGGGTCTAACAGAGCATGTGTTTCACCACAGTCTCCAGTTGCCAAACACAGTTTGAGCAGCAGGACACAACATGGTTTTGGGGATTTTTTTTTTTTTTTTTTTTTTGTCTCTCCCTTATCCTTGCATGTTTGAGTAGTTTAGTAGTTTTTTGTTTTGTTTTGTTTTGAAGTATGCTATTTTCAAGTGTTGGCTATGCTTTCAGAATTTCCATTGAATTACAAAGTACTATCCTTACACATTTCAGTTTTATCAATTGGGCCTTTAAAACTCACACAAAAATTGGCTATTGATTCTTGTTCAATGGGATGAGAAAGCTTGTCAATCATCGTGTGTTTTACATTAATTACTTTTGAATGGTGCATTTGTGCTTCTGATTTTTGTGAAGCATCACTTCAGTTTACCTCAGAACTCAATTCCATCCTTCATGCATTTTAATTGATTTGATCTTCAAGCTGCAGAGTGCCTAGAAATGGGTCATCATCTGCAGCCCTGGCATAGACACACGGACATTTGCCACCACTGCAAGCAGATATCTGGAGAAGCAGATCCACAGCAGTCAGGGAGAACATGCTGGTGTGACTTCACAGCTCACATACAACTTCCCTGACACATACTGGACTGCTTTTTGAAGCTTGCCAATGACTTTCGGCAGTGTGTACTATGCTCTTGTTCCTATACTAGCTATAAATGTTAGGTGTTAAGGATAAGTAATCTTCAATTTACTCTATAATGCTGAAATTTTAAGTTTCCTTTTCTTTTTTTAGGTTTGTTAAGTTTCCTTTTATTTTGCTTCTGTTGATCAAATTTACATTGTTTCTTTTTTTTTTTCTTTTATTTGGCATTTCCAACAAAAATGCCTTTATTCATTTATCAAGAAAGTTGGAAAATGAGAATACAAACTGACAAAATTAACTTAATTGGCTACAGGCCCAAATTTTTATTTTTCATTAATTAATTATGAAGGGGATGTGAGAGTTCCTATTGCTGGTCATGAAGGTCATCATGAAGGGTCAGTTTAGTTTGAACCTAGAGGCATTTGGCTGAGATGCTAATTTGAGATGAGCATCTGTATGGTGCAGTCTAGAATTGTGTTTAAGTTTGCAGGTACCTCTTGGACTCCTGAACTGATCTGGCTGTCACACATCATCGACGTCCCACATCCCACACAGTTATGAGATTGGCAACAGAGAGCACCTTGTTGGAGATGCCAGAGCTGTTTTGAAGGACCACCTGCGGAAGAGAAGTGTCTGCAGGAACAATGCTACATATTCAGCTGGAGAGGGAACACGCATCTGATGGGAATGAAGCTTTTGGTTGTTTCAGATTGTAGAATGTTTTTTAGTTGGTTTTGGACATTGCATTGTTTTTCCTTTTTTTCTATAGTCAATTTAAGTAATAGGGGATAGATAATCATTAAGAATTTTAGTCTGGGAGGGACTATTAAGTAATTTAGGTGGGTGGGTAAGTTAGGGGATAAGTTAGGATAAGATAGGATAAGTTAGAATAAGTTAGGATAAGTTAGGATAAGATAGGATAAGATAAGATTAGGATAAGATAAGATTAGGATAAGATAAGATAGGATAAGATACAACAATAAGTGGACACGCGTACTTATTTGTCCCTCTTACCCCTCCCTACAACCTTACCTTTAAAATTCTACTCAGAGGGAACTGCAGGGAAATCAATCAACATTTTATGAGTGAATTGGACATGGACAAAATTCTAGAGAAATTTCAAAGATGATTAGATTAATAAGCCCCTAGGAATTAACTCCAGAGTAAAACCTTGAGAGAGTGACCAGGTAATAGGCATCATTTGAGAAACTATTGCTGGAATAAAGTTTGTAATGCTGAATGATATTCATGGAAATTGTAAAAAAGTGATGAATAAAAACCCTTACTATTTTCTTGTCAGTAACCCTCCTCCCCTCCCATCCCCACCCCCCTCCCCTCCCTAACCCATCCCTTCTTCCCTTCCCCCTCCCAACCCCACCCTTCAAACTATATTACTGTATTCTTTTTACTATATTACTCATACTGTATTGATATTACAATAAAAATTCAATAAATAAAGACTTAGTGGTTAAGGCAAATTGTGTCCTGATCATTTCAGCGCCTACCACCATTAAGAATGGAGGGAGGAGCAGTGGATGGGCCCAGAATGACAAAGGGTGGGCGTTAGGAAGTCAAGGGGTTGGGGAGGGGCCATATGGGAAAAAAGAGGGTGGGGAAGGGTGGGCTTGGGAAAAAGTTTGGGATGAGGTAGCATATAAACACATAAGTCACACAATTCAGCTTCAATGATATGCCCAGAATACCCCAATATATTGACTAATCTGTTCCAGCTGTGACATTAACAAAATAAAGTCATCACTTCAGAGCAACTCCAGTGACATAACTATTAATCTCAGTATGACTTGAATACTTGAGATTTATTACTATATTAGAGAGGGAGGGACCTGGGAGAATGAAAGGGAAGAAGAACAAGGGTAAAAGAATGGGAAACGGGGTAGGAGGATTGAGATTAACATGGTGGTGTGTAACATAGACTACTCCAGGAAACTAATTACATTGACAAAATCACCTTGGTATAGTATTGCTTCAAGCAGCTGAGATTTATGAATGGGGAGGCTGGGCAAATAGGATCACAAAGCAGATGGGGGATGAGAAGTGATGGCGAGAGGGTTACAAGTTGAGTAAATGTGGAATGGAGTTTTATATGAAGAATACATCAATCACAGAACCTAATCATAATAATATACCAAGAAGACCCCAGGAAGTAAATATGTTCTAGCTGCAAAAAGCTAACATATAAGCCACCATAATAACTCCAGTGAAATAACACTGGAATAATTCAATATGACTGGAGTCCTTGAGATTTGTTGAGATAGGGGAGGAAAAACTAAAGGGGGAGTAAAAGTGGGGGTTAGTAATCCAGTAGGGAGGGGTGGTGTATAAAGGGAGTGGTGGTGTATAGGGAACATATCAATCTTACTCATGACCCTGTAGCAATAATATACCCAGAATATCCCAAGACATTAACTAATGTGGTTCAGATGCAAAACACTAGCATCTATGATAATAAAGTCACCAAATCAAGTTCATAGACATAATAAACCTCAATACTAATAGTACTTGAAATAATTAGAATTTACTTATTTAAGTGGAATTGGGGGCCAACAAGATGCCTCAACAGATAAGGGTCCTTGCTGCCAACCTGGGCAAGCTGAATTGGATCTCTGGAACCCACCCGGTGAAATGAGACTACCAGTGCCTACAAGTTGACCTTTGACCTCCATAAACTCATGGCAGGACAGTGGTAGTCATTCCTCCGCACACAAAATAAAGAGGGAGAGTAGGGGTACATTTGAGGGCAGGAAACAGTGTGAAGGGGGAGATGAAGGGCAAGATGAGAGGTTGGGGTTGAGTGTGGTTTTGGAATAGGGTGGTGCATAAAGAATAACCAAATAATTCACTATTGATTATATGCCTAAAACAACCCACAAGAACAGTCTCTAGGCCACATATTAAAATTATTCTCTGAAACCACTTGAGCCAGGACCTCACAGTTCAAATCACCCTTAGTACCACTGTCTTCCATGTTCCTACTAGTATAACCCATTAAACTGCTCTTAAAGTATTCAACTATTTTTCTAGTTTGAAGCCCCAGTATATTCCATATACCTCCAAATGAATGCATGGTCTGGCCTATTATAATAATACCTAACCCTAACAACCCCAACCCTAAAACTAACCCCTAACTCTAACCCTAACCCCAACCCTAAGCCTAACCCCTAACTCTAACCCTAACCCCAACCCTAAGCCTAACCCCTAACTCTAACCCTAACCCTAACCCTAACCCTAACCCTAACCCTAAGCCTAACCCCTAACTCTAACCCTAACCCTAACCCTAACCCTAACCCCAACCCTAACCCTTAACTCTAACCCTAACCCTAACCCCAACCCTAAGCCTAACCCCTAACCCCAAACACTAACACTAAGGATAACCTCTAACCCTAACCCTAACCTTAACCTAAGCCTAAACCCTAACCCTAACCCCTAACACTAACACTAACCCTAAGAATAACCTCTAACCCCAATACCTAATCCTAACCTAAGCCTATACCCTAACCCCTAACCCTAAGAATAACCTCTAACCCTAACCCCAACCCTAACCCTAACCTAAGCCTAAACCCTAACCCTAACCTAAACCTAAATAAACCCTAACCCCTAACACTAACACTAACCCTAAGAATAACCTCTAACCCCTAACCCTAACCTAAGCCTAAACCCTAAGAATAACCTCTAACCCTAACCCTAACCTAAGCCTAAACACTAACCCCTAACACTAAACCTAAGAATAACCTCTAACCCCTAACACTAACCTAAACCTAAACCATAACCCTAATCCCTAATCCTAACCCTAAAAATAACCTCTAAACCTAACCTCTAATCCTAACCCCTATCCCTAACCCTAATCCCAACCCCAATCCTAACCCTAACTCTCAGAATAACCTCTAACCCTAACCTTAACCCTAACCCTACCCTAAGCCTAAACCCTAACCCTAATCCCTAACCCTAACCCTAAAAATAACCTCTAATCCTAACCCCTATCCCTAGCCCTAATCCCAACCCCAACCCTAACCCTAACTCTCAGAATAACCTCTAACCCTAACCTTAACCCTAACCCTAACCTAAGCCTAAACCCTAACCCTAATCCCTAACCCTAACCCTAAGAATAACCTCTAACCCTAACCTATAATCCTAACCCCTAACTCCAACCCTAACCCCAACCCCAACCCCAACCCTAACACTAACACTAACTCTAAGAATAACCTCTAACCCTAACCCCTAACCTAAGCCTAATCCCTAATCCTAACCCTAAAAATAACCTCTAAACCTAACCTCTAACCCTAACCCCTAACCCTAACCTAAGCCTAAACCCTAATCCTAATCCCTAACCCTAAGAGTAGCTCTAACCCTAACCTCTAACCCTAACCCCTAACTCCAACCCTAACCCCAATCCCAACCCCAACCCTAACACTAACACTAACTCTAAGAATAACCTCTAACCCTAACCCCTAACCTAAGCCTAAACCCTAATCCCTAATCCTAACCCTAAAAATAACCTCTAAACCTAACCTCTAACCCTAACCCCTAACCCTAACCTAAGCCTAAACCCTAACCCTAATCCCTAACCCTAAGAGTAACCTCTAACCCTAACCCCTAACTCCAACCCTAACCCCAACCCCAACCCCAACCCTAACACTAACACTAACTCTAAGAATAACCTCTAACCCTAACCCCTAACCTAAGCCTAAACCCTAATCCCTAATCCTAACCCTAAAAATAACCTCTAAACCTAACCTCTAACCCTAACCCCTAACCCTAACCTAAGCCTAAACCCTAACCCTAATCCCTAACCCTAAGAATAACGTCTAACCCTAACCTCTAACCCTAACCTAAGCCTAAACCCTAACCCTAATCCCTAAACCTAAGAATAACCTCTAACCCTAACCTCTAACCCTAACCTCTAACCCTAACCCCTAACCCTAACCTAAGCCTAAACCCTAACCCTAATCCCTAACCCTAAGAATAACCTCTAACCCTAACCTCTAATCCTAACCCCAACCCTAACCCTAACTCCAACCCCAACCCTAACACTAACACTAACCCTAAGAATAACCTCTAACCCTAACCCCTAACCTAAGCCTAAACCCTAACACTAAATCTAACCCTAACCTTAATCCTAACCCTAAGAATAACTTCTAACCCTAACCCCAACCCTAAACTTAACCTCTAACCCTAACCCCAACCCCAACCTCAACCTTAACCCTAAATCTGGTAATCCCTGGCACCAACTTCTATCTTATTAGGGTTTCAATTGCTGTGAAGACCATGACCGCAGCAACTTTGTAAAAGGAAAATATTTCATTGGAGCTAGTTTACAGTCCACTATTGTCATGGTTGGAAGTGTGGGCATGTGGGCAAACATGGTGCTAGAGAGGTAGCTGGATCCACAGGCAGCAGGAAGAAAGACACTGGGCCTGGCTTGAGCTTCTGAAGCCACAAAGCCTACCCTCAGTGACACACTTCCTTCAAAAAGCCACACCTACTTCAACAAGACTGTGCCTCCTAATAATGTCATTCACTATGGATTTATGGGAGCCATTTTCAGTCAAATTATTACAACACCTATCACTAAACCAGTGTCATACACCCCAAGCACCCCCCAGAAAATCAGATAGCTACTAATTAATAATCTTGTGTTACAACTTTTACCTTTAATGTCAATTTTACTTAGAAATTTGTGATTTACTAACAAAAGTTGCAAAATATTAGTAAGGAAGGAAAAAAAACACAATAGAGATATGGGAAACTAACAAGGAAACTTATTTTTTTCTGCTGATTAACAGTATTTAAATGTCAGTGCCACTCACTGCCATTCACATAATGATACTTTCTCGTAGTGGGCATGGCATCAGGCAGACATGGAGTAAATAGTCCAGAGCTTACATCTGATCCACAAACAGCAGGAAGAGAAAGCTGGGTCTGGTGTGGGCTTTGGAAACTTCAAACTCATACCTAGTGACACCTCCTAATCCATCACAAAAGTTCCAGCTGCAAGAATATGACTACCTTTTGTTCTGGTCCTAAGAATCTGCCTGAGACTGAATTTAAGTTTGGGATTAATTTTTTTTTTTTTTTTCCTGCAAACGGGATTTCAAGATAATCTAATTCTGTTCCAGGGTTAGTAGCAATTATTCTCATAAAGGTCTACAATGAAAAGCAGCAAGTGGGGCAAAAAGGAATATACAGTTTTCAGGTTCAAGTAAAAAAGAGTACCATGAGATGCAATGTTGAAGCCCAGGCTTGAGCTGAAAGAGATAAGGAAAAGTCTGCTGTGAAATGGAATAAGGGAAAGAATGCCTTCAGGGCAAGACCCCACCCAGCCAATCTCCCAGCTAGTTAAAAAAAGAAAAAATGCCTAAAATGCCTAAGGAATTTTATGCTACTAAAGAGCAACAATAAAGGAAAGTTTATGCAAATGTGACTCAAGAAGCAGGCAAGCTCCATCCCAAGCAGGCAAGTG